GCACTGATCCTAGCCATGCAGAGGACCAGGTGGCTAAGCTAGCGCCACCTATCCTGAGCTTAGCACCATCAACTGCCTGGGCAACAGTGGCCACAAATCTGTAATCCCAGCATTTGGAGGCCACGGCACCGGGATTGCTGAGAGTTTGAGGCCAGGCTTGGCTACATAGCAAGAACCTGCCTCAAAAAAACAAAAATAAACTAACTTTTTTTAAAAGTCCAAACTGTACTCGTGCACTTGACCCAGCAGATTGCACATGAGGAGTGAAACGCAAAGTCTGGTTTCAGTCATCGCCACCAAAACGAGGACACCGGCACGAGCCCAAAGCTGAACCCTGGGCTCATCTATAGCAAGTTCCTCCTAGACAAACCCTTCCATCTTGGAGGGAAGCTCCGTAAGCTCAGGAACTAAACATCAAGGCTTCAGGAAGTCCTGAAACTGACCAGATTCACTAGCCCCTTCTTCCCCAAGACTATACAGGAGGAAGGCCAAGGGACTCTTAGTCAAGCAGGACCCATGTGGAATAAACTCTCCAACCAGCTTTGCAGAGCCATCACCCACGCTGGGGTGGGCTTTGGTGCTACAGCTATTTTGTAATCATGTCTGCTCTTGGAAGTCACCCCAATAAAGCTCACTGGTTAACCACACTGGCCTTCGGTAGTACTCAATGGCCCGCCATTGCTGTGTCTGCAAAGACTGATGGACTCATCAGACCCCAGTGGTGCAAGAGGCTGGAATGCTGCAGGTTCAGAGGAAATGACCTCATCTCTCGTTAGCTCTAGTCCCATAAATAATCCATCCCTTGCCCACCTCTACATCTGCGACTAACATATTAAAAAAAACATTCAGGAAGCTATTAACTCAGCAGATCAACCTAAAAGTTAATAACACCGTCAGCTCCAAGCATAACACACCTTTAATCCCAGCACTCTGGAGCAGGAGGCAGAGGCAGGCGGATCTCTGAGTTGAGGACAGCCTGGTCTACAGAGCTCCAGGACAGCCAAAGCTACACAGAGAAACCCTGTTTCTTTCTTTCTTTCTTTTTTTTTTTTTTTTTTTTTTTGAGACAAGGTTTCTCTGTAGCCTTAGAGCCAGTCCTGGAACAAGCTCTTGTAGACCAGGCTGGCCTTGAACTCACAGAGATCCACCTGCCTCTGCCTCCCCAAGTACTCGGATTAAACGCGTGCACCACCACCGCCCACTGCCCCACCCCCAAGAGACTCATTTACTCTTATGAGTGTTTTAAGTAAGTGTGCCTGTGCATCGTCACTGTGCTGTGCCAGTGGAGGCCAGAAGGGGGCGTACGACCCCCTGGAACTGGAGTTAGGGACTGTTGTAAGCTGTCATGTGTCTGCTGGAAACTGCATCTGGGTCCTATACAAGAGTAACAAGAGCTCTTAACCGCTGAGCCATCTCTCCAGCCCCTCTTTTTTACTTTTTGGATGGGTTCCCTGAAGTTGCCCGTGCTGAGGTGAACTTACCGTGTAGTCCACACAGGCCCGCTGGCCGTTACCCTCGGAGTCCTCAGCCTTCGGCTCCCCACCAACCAGCGGCAATGAACTCTTTATGATGCAAGATTTACTTCCACTTCCAATGATGAGGAAATGTTAGCATTTTAAACTAAAGGCCCAAGAACGGAATGCACGTTCTTTTAACGCGTGAATCACACGCACAGACAAGAGCTGATAAACCTGCCAGTGAGAAAACTTGGTGACCTCGTCACACTTCACTAAGCGAGTACGTTTTTCTTTCTGTTCGAGTCTGGTAGTTCCCTAACTACCTTTCCCTCCATCACGGCCCAGCGCCCTCAGGAGGCGTAGCTGTCCCCGCCGGTACCCGCTCACTTTTGCAGCACGCGTGGAGGGGTCCCGACCGAGGAGAGCCGGCCCGTGCGAGGCATCCACTCCCAAAAAGGCTGCTCGGGTAGGCTGCCTTACCCCACTTGCTCCCCTGCCGCTCGGGGCCAGGCTGTGTGCAGATCTTCTTGGCCAAGTCCTGCAGATACGCATCCTTGGCTTGCAGAGAGGCCATGGTTGGAGGCCACGCTAGGAGGTTCCGCGGTCCAGAGCTCCGCCGGAAGCACCCTGAACGTAGGCGCCGACAGCCTAGAGCTCGATTGCCCAGCCTGTCCACGCCGGAAGTATCGTGTGCGCAGGCGCCGCCAAGCCAACTCTCGTTATTAGTTCAGGAGCACCGGAAGTCACCACCCAAAGTATTTGTCTCCATTCACTCTCGGTAAGCAAGCTAGTCAGCCTCGGAAGCCCTCGGAAGCCGCAACGTACGCACCCGCGGCCCACCCGGAGATCGATTAGCCAGGCCTGAGGGGCCGGCTAGTCCTTAACCTGGAGGCGTTCCCCTGAAAGAAGCAACCTGTAAAGTCAGGACTTCAGTCCAGCTCGCCCCGCCAGATAGAGCGGAAGCCGTTCTAGCTCCTTCCCAATTAATCAACCTGAAGCCCAGAATCCAGCCTGCAGGGTATGCCCAGCACCCCACGACCACTCCACCACACGGAGTAAAACACAAACCGGTATCTTGGTGGGGGAGGGGGACACATGAGTATGGCGTGGATCCTAGGTTACATGTAGTCATGTATCGATTGTTTTGCGGGGGCTGGAGAGATGGCTCAGAGGTTAAGAGCATTGCCTGCTCTGCCAAAGGCCCTGAGTTCAATTCCCAGCAACCACATGGTGGCTCACAACCATCTGTAATGGGGTCTGGTGCCCTCTTCTGGCCTGCAGGCATAGGCACAGACAGAATATTGTACACATAATAAAAAAAAATAAATAAAATACTTGCCATCGATTGTTTTGATGGCATTGGGCCTTTAGGGATGAAAATTCCCTTGCAGACTTGCAGATGGCATTGAAATGGCTTATTTATGAGGAAATGGAGGGAAGAGCGAGTCCTTAGTAGGGCCTATACAAGGGCTTGCTATACACGTGCTACATAGCATGTAATTCATCTAGGATCACTCATAAGTTAATGCTCGTGAGAAAAAAAAATAAAGATAAAGGTGACACAAAAGTTACATCACTGACCCTTGAGTTCCTAGAGAACTGAATCCCTGGCTGTCTCTCTGGGGAGTTCTGCCCCCAGCAGCATAAGCTGAAGGAAGACAGTGGTGTCCTTTAAATGAGCTTTGCTTTTAAATATAAAGGACAGAATTGGCCAAACAGAATAAAACACAAGAATCAGTCTTTCATTAAGGTTTTTGGAACGCCTTCTGAACTGTTGCTTCTGGCACCTCCCCAAGTCCTCTACCCTGTGCCTAGGCTTTCTCGGTGACACTCATAGGTTCTTCCAACAGTTAACATATTGCAGACATCACTCTGATGGAAAACTCCCCAGCTACCCACCTGTGTGCTACCTTCTGTTTGGCTATGTAGGTGCCTGGGCCACCTAGTGACCAGCCCATGTTCCTCATAGACCCGGGATGACTACTTTCATGAATAAAGCATGCTCATGGTAGTTAGGAGTGACAGGCTGAAGGCAAACACACGCCCCAGTGTCATGGTTTCTGCATGTCAGTGTTGAGCCTGGTACTGAGATGCAATGGGGTCCGAGTTCCTAGTTGTTTCTGCCACTCAGTTTCTCAGCCTGTGGCTCTCGGCATGACACACCCCTTCAAGCCCATGCCTACTCCAAGATGCAGACATGACAGCACTAAGTTGAGGTGGCAGAAATAGGTGGCACCGAAGGTACAAGTGCTGCACTCATATAACTTGAAGTAATGGCAGATTTTTCATTCCTTTACCAAATATAAAGGACCTACTAGATGCTAGTGGGAGAGGGGCTATACAAGGAGTGTAAGCGGAGACTGTTCTTTCATTTCCCAGCTGCCCAGACCCAAATAATCACACAGAAACTAGATTAATTACAACACTGCTTGGCCAATAGCTTAAGCATATTAGCATATTCCCAGCTAGCTCTTCATATTAAATTAACCCATTTCTATTAATCTGTGTATCACCACAAGGCTGTGGCTTACTGGCATCTTTCTCCTTAGGCAGCTACATGGTGTCTCCTTTACTCTGCCTACTCTCTCTATACATCTCTGTTCGGATTTCCCACTTGCTTTATTCTGCCCTGCCATAGGCCGAAGCAGCTTCTTTTATTAGCCAATGGTAATAAAACATTTCACAGCATACAGAGGGCAATCCCACATCAGAGCTGGGGCTGTTGCTTGAGGAACCCAGGGGAATCTTAGACTAATCAGGAAAGAAAAATGAACAGCACAAAAAGGTAATGTTTTATTCAACAGTTTCGTCACAAAAGTAGCAAAATGAAAATGGTGGCAGAATCCAGGAAGATGCCCTGGCTAGCTAGCTGCCTCGGTCTTGCTAGGACTGTCAGCTGTGGCACAAACAATTGTGCTCCAGGCACCAGGCAGTGGATAGGGCTCTTTATACAGGAGCTTGAGTCAAATATGGATGGCTGGACTTGGCTAAGGTCCACTGAGCACCTCCTAATTCTCAACAAACTGAGGCTTTCTATCACCAGCCATCCTCCCTATTCAAGGTCCTCAATGGGACCAACATCCATCTGGCAGTCAGGAAGGTAGCCACTAGAGACGAAGGGCCATCCATCTGCCTGTAAATAACAACAGCATTCCTGAACTATCAGGGAACTGGCCCTGGCCTGGCCAGGTCCCTGAGGCTACAGTGGTTCCTGATCCCAAAGTGGGAGCTAAGACTGAAGAAGCAAGGCTGTGGCGGGCACCCACAGGACTTCCTTTCTGATAAACTAGGGCCCTGGGGAGGGCTCAGGTGTGTTCTGTGGGGCCAGGGCCACCACCATGGGAGTGGGCAGGGGCTGCAGACTGCAGGGGACCAGCACCAGTCTCCGGGGACGCCAGAAGAGGGGCTGAGAGGCCATCAGCAGAATCTGTGTCGAGGTCCAGCCTCCAGTAAGCTTCACATAGAGGCAGGTCATTAGCTTCGCAGAGACTTGAGCTTTGCCACCACAAGAAACCCCCAGGAATGACAGGAGCAGGCAGAGGAAAGCCAGGGAGGGGAAAGCAAGACAGATGCAGAGTTAAGAAATGAACATCACCTGATTGCCTCTCCTTCCTCTCCTCTGTGCTAGCCCCTCTGCTACCAGTTCTGACTGCCCTTGCAGTCAGAAAGATGCCATCAACAGACCGAGTGACTTAGGCAAGCTCTCCCCATGGGCCACATGTCCTTCCTGACACTTACGAATCCCCGTCCCTGTGGGTCTCCTCCCATCCTGACTGCTCACCCATTAACAGTATGGCAGTGATAAGACTTTACAAAGAGCTCAACATGGCAGAGACCTGTCTGTTCCTATCAGGGAATGGGCCTAACTATAAAAAGTCAGGAACAGAGGTCCATTTCTGTACACACCACTGCTCCAGCCCTACAGCTTCAAGCCCCACACTTTCACACACTCCATTTCCCCATGCTACACAGGGAAGAATAGAGGTGGAAGAGGCAAGGATTAAGCCTCAGCGGTCATGGCAGGTTACCTGGAGCACATCTGTTTCCACAGCTTTCTAATCTGCACAAGGCCCTAGCCACATACCTGCCCCCAACAGTCCCTCTGAACTACCCAAAAGAGTAGCATCCCAGGAGAGTGGAGGGGAGGCAAAGCCAGAATCAGCAAGCAGTGAGTATATAGGCAGGAGTAGCTGTGCAGAAGGGAAGCTGGGCAGCTGGTGGTGGTGTGGGCACACAGAATAACCCCACTGGCCCTGCACAGAAGAGCCCTGCTATTTAAGGTAATTCATAGGCAGAGGGGCCACTGCCATATCATGAGGAATATGAAAAAGGTGACTGTCCAAAAGGAACGCTGGTTGTCTCAGAAACCCATGCAGGTGATGCAGAGACTGAGGCTTTGGAAACCTGGCACACTGGATTTCTGTCTTAAGCAATTTCATCCCCTCCTCCATCAACTCCTATAGCAGGGCTAAGTCACTGCCCCAAGACTGATCCACCCAGGGGCCCTTGAAGCAGTAATTGTCTAAAGGGTAGCGACAGGAAGAATTCATCCTGGTGAGTCGGGGCAGAGGAGATGGTCCCATTCATTTGCTAAGCTGATGAATATTGGGATCAAGGCCAGCCCCAGAACTGCCCCAGTTGGCAGTGACCCTGAAGACTAGGATGGGGAAAACAAGCCCTAGATCACATACTGCCCAGCTCTGGACATCTTCTGTGCAGCAGGAGCCCACACCTACCGCCAGGGGAAGCCAGGTTTGCCTGGGAGAGAGTGCCACTGGACAGAATCTGAATGTCAAGCTGAGGGGATGTGAGCCAGGCCTCCATTCTCCAGCCTCAGTTTCCCACATATTTCACACTGTACTCCTAATTTCTCAGGGCCTCTCTAGCTCAGAAACTGTCAGGTTTCAAGTGGCCCTTCAGAGGACTAGGTGACAGATCCTAACTATGCTATCCTAGGTCTGACACCTCCATAAGGCTGAGCTGACCAGAAACAGGACATCCAAGTACCCAAGTCCAGTTCTCAGAGCCACTCTGCTTGAGCTCCTTCCTCCTCCTTCCCAGTGTTCCCCACCCCTACACTGAGAAATTTGATGATATCTACATAGAACTGAATCTCTGGGCAAGCAGTAGGCAGTGATGTCTCAGGGAGTGGACATAGTTATAGACCTAGAAGGCCACAGGGGCCAATCCAGCCTTGGCTGAAGTGTCAAGACAGAGATTTAGAGCAGGAAGGCAGACTGCACTGCCCAGGAGACTTCCTTGCCCCCTGTGGATGCCCTTCTCTGGCCACTGACACCAAGTCCTGTGATTTTTCACCCCAACTTCATTGAGGGGAAGGCCTGGGCACCAGCTGGTGGCTGGCTGTGACTGTCTGTCCATCAGGGGCTCTGCTGTCAAGGAGGACTTGGAAAAACACAAGGCCCTGAAGGCCCTAGTCAGCCTGGGGAGGCAGCAGGTACCACCTTCATGCGAGTCCAGCCCTATTTGTACCTGGACGAGTAGTACTCCTCCTCCAGCTCATAGAGGTCAATGGAGACCTCATCCCGCAAGGTGATGAGCTTGCGATCACACTCTTCCTGCAGGGTGCGCAGCTGCTGGTTACGCTGGTCAATGGCTTCATTCACAGATGGGAAGTCATTAAGGATCAGGAACTGCTTGAGATCAGATACCAGCTTCATCAGTGACTCACCAGCTCGGACCTGCCACCATCATAATCAGGATAAACATGAGAGGAGACGGAGATGGTGGCCCTGCCCTGTGTAACTGGTGCTGGGACAACCGTGGGTTTCTGCAAGTCTTAACTTCGTGATCAGCAAAGAGTCAGAGCCTGCACAGAGTCATCTGTGAGGACAGAGGAGGGCTGGGAAGGCAAGGTCAGAACCCACCTGACCACAGGTGGGATAAGTTTGCTCATTTCAAGCTTTCCCACCACAACCATGAACACATCCCGTGCACTCAACTCAAAGTCAACAGAAGACCATGCCCTGGGGTTCCTCCTGACCCATTCCTTCCCAGAGATGGCACAAATGCAAGTTGGGCAGGATTCACTGGGGTCTTTGCCCCACACGGTGTCATTTGCTGGTACCCACTGCACAGACACTGGCCTACTGGGCTTTCCCTGGAACATCAAGAGGGGCTCACACTTCACATACACCATTTCACATACGACAAAAGGCCATTTTGCCTTTCCAGTCACAGCCAGCCTTGGGGAACCTTTGTCAGCAAGAATGGCTGCCTTCCTCCCGACTACTATACAGGATGGAAAAGGCCGTATGTCTATTGCACCCACCCACCCCAGTACCCACAAGGGGCAACTTCCTCTGCCCCGCCCCACTGTTCTCTTGTTTTCCTTTGGTCCATCTGTGACCCCTACAGGGGTGTTTTCCACCCTGGCCACTCACGATGTTGGCAGCTCGCACATGCATCTCGTAATTGTCTTGTTCACCCTGAGTAGCCCGAGACACCTGTGTCTCATCCTCAATCTGGGGACAAATAAAAAAGCTTAGAATCAGCACAGGCAGCCACCTGGCTTAGCCTGGTTGACAGGAACCCAACAGCTAATAGCCACCGCCACCACCCCAAGAGCCACCACCCCAGCCTGTCTATCAGGCCTTCCTGCATACCCAGAACCCTACTTCCTATCTAGAAAGTTGGCAATGTCCACTCCAACCCCCTCTCATTCTGTGGGTGACAATAGGTGACTTCATCACATAAAAAGGACACTGCAAGTCTTTTTGAGAAAGTTTACAGGAAATAAGATGTTCAATAAAGGAGTAAAAAGACATTTTTTTTAATCTTTTGTTTTTAAGGCAGGGTCTCATTAACTCAGGCTGGCCTGAACTTCTGATCTCCTGCCTCCACTTCCTAAATCCTGACAGTAAAGAGCTGTGCCAACATCTAGTTTATCCAGTGCCAGGGACTAAATACAGGGCTTTGTAACTGCTAGGCAAGCACCTTACAATGGCAACAACTATGTTGAGTAGCTAACTAAGCAAGGCTTCCTCACAAAAAAGCCTGAACTGTTCTCAGCTTACCTTACAGATAGACCAGTTAGAATCGGACACAGACCTCAGTGGTCTTGAGGCATCTCAGACATAGAGCAGCAGCTCTCAACATTGCGATTCATAATAATAACAGTTGCAAATTTATTTTTTGTTGTTTTTTGTTGTTGTTGTTTTGTTTTGTTTTTCGAGACAGGGTTTCTCTGTAGCTTTGGAGCCTGTCCTGGAACTAGCTCTTGTAGACCAGGCTGGCCTCGAACTCACAGAGATCCGCCTGCCTCTGCCTCCCGAGTGCTGGCATTAAAGGCGTGCGCCACCACTGCCCGGCCAACAGTTGCAAATTTATAGTTATGAAGTACAACAAAAATAACTTTGTGGTCGGGGGGGGGGGTCACCACAAAATGAGGAATTGTATTAAAGGAGCAAACTCATCAATCATCACAAGAATCTACAGCAATGGGGAAACTGCCCAGTAACTAAAGTAGAGCCCTGGCAATTCGGCCACAGCCCTCTACTCTGCTCTACCCACGCCTGTCATTATTTGGCTTTTTTATTCACCTGCTGACCTTTTGACGCCTCATCGCTCACACCCGCACCGAACTGATCACATTCCCTTTGCATCCCCACCCCAGGGTACGCCGCCAGTTCCTGCCTTCTCCCTTGGCCTCGGAACAGCAACCACACACCTTGGCAGTCTTGATGATCTCGGTGAAGTTGTCCATGATGGACTTGATGTCGTCTTTGAGCCGCTTGTTGTAGGACTGCAGCAGCGTCTCCTTGCTCTGGGGCAAGGCTCTCTGCTGGGCCATGGCAGGTCCCGGGTGACAGCCGCCACAGTCCGGTCAGACCCGAAACAAGCACACAGAGCCTGCGGGGGTGGGGAGCGGGATTCCGCTACATCAGCTTCCTCCGCGAACGCGGGCACTTTACCGCGCTCGGGTTTAGTTCCCTACACCCGCAACCACTCGGGACCTGTGGTACCTTGCCTGGTCCTGCAGCCCTCGGCGAACGCGCAGCCGCCGTTCCGCAGACTCCGCCCATGCCCCGCCCCACTTCCGCCGACAGAGTGCGGAGTGATCCAGTCGCTTTAAATACGAAATCCCGCGCAGGCGCCAACTCTCGCGATCTCCGAAGCGGCTTACATATTACCCACAATCCCCTTTTTCTTTCTCTCTCCTCCAGCCCGGCAAGATGGTGAGTGATCGAGCGCCTTGGCTTCATCCGACTACATCCGCTGCCCGACGCCGTCTCCCGGGGTCCGCGGCCGCGTTTGGCGCTTCGGGGGCCTGCGCTGAGAGGGAGCGGCGGCGAGCGGCGCGCAGGGGACAAGCCTGCCGCCCGATGGGATGGCGACGACGGAAGACACAGCCTCACGGGCTTTCTCTCTTGTGTTCAGCCCAAGGGAAAGAAGGCCAAGGGGAAGAAGGTGGCCCCGGCCCCCGCCGTCGTGAAGAAGCAGGAGGCGAAGAAGGTGGTGAATCCTTTGTTTGAGAAGAGGCCTAAGAACTTCGGCATTGGTAAGAAGCGGGGCGAGTGCTGTCCCGAGGACGCGGCGGTGGCTGCAGGGGATCTGGGGGTTGGGGTTTACTCCGGCCGGAACCAAGCCGACGGTGGCCGCCCTGGTTTTCACGTAGCCACAGCGGGAACTTCGGCTACCGTGCCTGCTGGCGGGCCATGGCTTTAGGTTACAGCGGGACGTGGCGTTGTGTGCAGATGATGTAAAAGAATATTTGCTATCAGAAAAGCGGTGATGACATTTGAACCACCAAGATCGCTGATGCACCAGCACCCACCCTCCCGAGCGCCCAGATGTAGCCCGGCGCAGCGATGACTCCTGATTGGTGGTGTCGCTCTTTGCTTCCCAGGGCAGGACATCCAGCCCAAGAGAGATCTCACGCGCTTCGTCAAATGGCCCCGCTACATTAGGCTGCAGCGGCAGAGGGCCATCCTCTACAAGCGGCTCAAAGTTCCTCCTGCCATTAACCAGTTCACCCAGGCCCTGGACCGGCAAACAGGTGAGGTTCTGTTTTTGAAAAGTGGCCGGTTTGATGTCACCGGAGCATGAGATTGGTCCTGAGTTGTCATTTTTACGGTTAGTGAAGGAAAAGGGTGCTTGGTAAGCGGGCATGAAGGCTGCAGGGACTCAGCGCCATTGTACAGTGGCTGGGGAGGGTTGAAAGGGGTCCCCAGCCACTCTGCTCGAAACCAGCTATCTTGGAGCTCAGTAAGGTGGGGAAGCTGTTACGGAAGATGCCCAGGGTTGACCTCCAGCCTTCTCGTCTGCACGTACCACACTAGGATAGTTTGGGGTTCTTTTTGACATCTTGTAGTCCTGGTTGTTCTGAACTCAAAATGTAGACTCAGGCGGGCGTTGAACTCGAAATCCTGTTTCCCTAGGTGCTGGGTTAAAGGTGCCACAAGAATGGGTTTGTTTTTTTAACTCTTTTATGCCACAGTTGTACAAGGGTTCAGAGACCCTCCATCCACAAGGCCTGTATATCTAAAATGCCTTTCAAGTGACAGGTTAGAATTGGGCCTGAGCGAGAGACTGCCCGCCACCTGATCACACTCAGGAAGCTACGTAGCAGACTTACAGACACAAGCCTCAAGTCTAACTCGAGAATGTTTTCCCAGCTACCCAGTTGCTTAAACTTGCCCACAAGTACAGGCCAGAGACCAAGCAGGAAAAGAAGCAGAGGCTGCTGGCCCGTGCTGAGAAGAAAGCTGCAGGCAAAGGGGATGTCCCGACTAAGAGACCACCTGTCCTTCGAGCGGGTAAGTGGACCACTGGGAAAGGAGGGGTGGTGGGGCAGGCTGTGCGATGATGTCTGAATTTCTTCACCTGAGAGCACTGTGGAGAGTGAAATCGAGCTTTTTAACCCTGAGTCACAGCTTGTGGAACTGCTTTTGTGACTCTAGCAGCCCAAGCAAGCACTCAGGCAAAGTGGTTGTATGTTGTGTATTCCAGGCGTCAATACAGTCACCACTTTGGTAGAGAACAAGAAGGCTCAGCTGGTGGTGATTGCCCACGACGTAGACCCCATTGAGGTAGGTCTGGTGGTGTAAGCATCAAGTGCAGTACTGCCAGGGTCCTGTGGGGGGTGGGGATTGGTTTTGTGAGTTGAAGATAAGGAATCCATTTGTGTGGCTCCTGCAATGATGTGAATCTTTGACTGAAGTGCTTTGATGTGCAATCACATGAGCTTTTTAACCCTGAGCATTTGCCACAAAGTAGCGGGGTGGCTGGCTACTGCTTCTGCTCCCAAACACTTACAACCCATCCTTGCTTCTAGCTGGTGGTCTTCCTGCCTGCTCTGTGTCGCAAGATGGGGGTCCCCTACTGCATCATCAAGGGAAAGGCCAGGCTGGGGCGTCTGGTCCATAGGAAGACGTGCACCACTGTTGCCTTCACACAGGTTAACTCGTGAGTATTTGGGCTTGTCTTTAAGCTTCCCTTACCCTCCCAGGTTTTGGACCTTTGCCAATGATGGTTAAGAATTTCTTCACCTGAATCAGCCGTGTGGTCATTCTGTGTCTGAGGCAAAAAATAAGATGCTTGTATCAGAAAAATTATTCTTGTGTCTGCTTCCTAAAGAGTAACAAGGCCTTTCTCCCTTCTTTGCCAGGGAAGACAAGGGTGCTCTGGCCAAGCTGGTGGAAGCTATTAGGACCAATTACAACGACAGATATGATGAGGTGAGCAGTTCTATACAGAGTGTGAGATTGGTTGTGCTTTTAGCAGTCGATTTGAGTTGCCCACTTGGAGTCAGTGAATATGAGATGTTAGCTGATGTGTGCTTGTATTAGAGGATAGGCCAAACTGACTTGTTGTATCTGTATTTCAGATCCGCCGCCACTGGGGAGGCAACGTCCTGGGTCCTAAATCTGTGGCTCGAATTGCCAAGCTGGAAAAGGCAAAGGCCAAAGAACTCGCCACTAAACTGGGTTAAATGTACTGCTGAGTTTTCTGTACATAAATATAATTATAAAACTTCCATCTAATGTCTGGTTATTTGGGTTGGTATAAGCATGTGCTTAAAATGTCTTGAAACCAAGCCAGGGTTTAAAAATAACAATTTTTATTTTATAGGAACAGGTTTGTTAACTTCACACACCTGGTGTCCGCCGCACAAATTTTTGAAACCATAAGTATGATGTGGCTGCACACAGTCCATACCTGTGATTGAAAGAAATTTAGTAGTCTGCTCATACAGTGCGGGGGGGGGGGGGGGGGGGG